ACCTCAGAGCAGGTGGGATGTGCCACTTTCCAGTGTGGCTGCTCAAGGGGGAACAGCAATCGGCCACAGAGTGGAGACTGAAGTCACCTCCTTGTAGGGGAGGATTTATAGGCATCCACTGCACGTTCTTCATGGAAAGCAGCAGCTTGAACCCCTTTTCCACACCTTTCCTTTCTTGCATTCTTCTCTCAGATTCAGCAGGCAGAGGCATCCTCTTTCAATACAGCAAGACATCCAAATCCAAACAGGGGTTACTGGCTCAGAAGCAAACTGGCTTTCCAGCAAGCTCTGTAAGTGGAAAGCCATTATCTTTATGATTTGTGATCAAGCCAAAGGAGATTCTATCTCTGGAGTCTCACTTGTTCCATGTTCACAGCCAGGATGGAGGTGCCAAGTTAATAGTGAGGGGGCTGTGCCAGGCAGCATTTCACCAGTTAAAGAAACATTGTCAGCTCAAGATTTCAATTTGAATGATTTTTAAAATCAGTTTTCTGCTGCAGCACCTCATAAAAAGTAGAATTGAGAAAGATTGGGCAGGGGGGTCAATCCTTTCTGCTGGAGGTGTAGGGGAGTTTTCCTTCTTTTCATTCCAAAGGGTGACTCCAGGTCATGGCCGCTGCCTGGAGGAGGTGATTTACAGTCCTGTGGGTCCTGTATCCTGGTCACTGCAACATCCCCAGGCTGCATTTCCAAGTGAGGACAATCTCCTTCGGGCTGGAATCAGGGCTTTCCGTACTGACACGCAGAGGGATAAAAACCCCTGCTCTGGGGAAGCCACTGCAGGTTCTTTTTGGGATCCCAGCTCATTCCCCATTTGTGGAAGGAGGTCAGTGCACAGGGAGTGCAGATCTCAGGGCCGGAGCCCACGTGGCCAACGAGGCCAGGCCAGGCTGAGATCATGGAGAGCTCTGAGGTGCCAGCGCTGCAGGAATGGGGAGTGGGAGGCAGCAGCTCCATCCCTGAAGGCAGATCCTGCCTTCCACTTCCTGATGAACATTTGTGGTGCTCACCTCATTCACTGAAGAGGAGTTAAAGTACTTTGAGGAGTGTTTTGTACAGCAAACTGTAAATAAAAGGCCTTTAATGACTTAAATCTCTGTGGCAGGAATGTCTGATATTAGAGGGGATTATCTGGATCAAACTTGTACTCTCAGAGCAGTAACAGAGTCATTGCTCAGAGCCTTTCACAGATCTCTGCCTACAAGATGTGTGAAATAATGAACTCAGATTCAGCGAAGAACCTAGAACCTGAATTGTGCTCCTTAATCCAGATTCCTTCCTCACTTTCCCCCCACCTCGTCTTATTTTCCAAGATCTTTTCTCTTACGTACCACCCTCTCATTTTGTTTTGTAAGCCCATCAAGCAGGGAGAGCATTTTGTCACCTCCTAAACAGGTAGCAAGGATTGTATTTCAGGAATTGTTCCCTTCTAGTCATTAATTATGGAATCATTTAGGCTGAAAAAGGCCTCCAAGATCAGGGGATCAGAGATTATCCAGAGCTGACAGGGACCAACAAGGATCATCAAGTCCAGCCATTAACCCAGACAAGGCCACCACTAAACCGTGTCTTTGTCTGATTTGTCTTTCAAGGGAGGAAATAAACAGGTTCATCACAGAGGTTCTGTTGAGAATCAGGGAGGAAGGGGGGTCTTGGTACAGCAATTACAGGAACCTGATGGTGGGGCCCTACTTTGAGTTTGGACATCTCCTGCTTTCATGGTCCCCTTATGAAGAGGGAATAAAATGAATACACCTTCACTTCTCCTGAGAGAAGTATATTTATGGTAGGAAACAAAAGAAGTCATTTCCAATGCAGTCTTTCCTATCTTTCATCTGAAATTCAACCTGCACACTCTGTGTTGTAAATATTTCACTCACCATTCTTTCCCCATAGGATTTCTGTAAAAAGTGAATGGATACAAAGACTGTGGCACAGAGAAATGGTTTTGGATACGAGGCTCGTTCATCTGTCTCACAGCTGTGCTGTGGTTTTGTTTCATCACATTTTTCTGTCAGTCAAGTATTTGAGAATGAAAGAAGAAGAAACTGTGCTTATAATAAAGTTCAGTTCTGAAATATATCCAGAGTGGAAGTCTGTCCCCCATGGGCATGAAGCAACAAAATTAACTCAGCCATTTTTTCATATGTTAGGGTAACAAATTCAAGCTTCTCTTCTGGAGCTGTTGCTCCAGTTGTGCTGAGTTTTAATCCCTTCCTGCCTTCCCAGAGAAATGCAGGTAGGTGCTGAGTATGGATTCCTTTCTGGCTCTTCAAGAGAAAGGTTGATGTGATGCTTTCCCTTTTCAAACCATCTCTTAACTTAAAAAACTTAAGCGCGTGTCTGCTCATATCAAATCTCAAGCTTTGCCATAGTTTTATCCAAAAAATGCAGTTGGATCCCTGCATACATGACTGTGTGCCAAGCTTCTGGGATTGCATAGGTGGGGCCTTCTCAGATTCAATTTGTGTCTTTGAATCTCTGCAGAAAGTTGAGATTGGAGAGTGCAGATGTCTCCTTGTTCAGGGTGGTTTGGCACTGGCAGATGCTCCATCAGCGCCTCATAATCTGCACAAGCAGGCAGTGAACTGTCGAAAGGATCTGAAATATTGCTCCCAGTCTATGGCAGACAGGAATTTTTGATTATTTTATGTAATCTTGGCACTTGGAGAAACTTTCTGTCTCTGCCATGAAGAGCTGAAGTGGTTTTATCATAGAAAAGATCTCCAAGAGAGGAAGATGCTCCCCACTTTCATGCAGTTCATAACCACAGACTGGGTGGGGTCACAAGGACCTTAAAGCTGATCCAGTTCCAACCCCCTGCCACAGGGGTTCTCCATGACTTGTCTTTTACAGGGTTATCTCCTCCCAAACCTTTGTGTGCAGCATTAAAGGCACATGGCAAAGGTTCCTGGCCCTTGGTGAGGACACAAGGGAAAGGCACAGGAATGTAAAGCAGCTGGTTCTGAATACTGGAGGTAATAAAAAATACAAAACCAGATAAATTCCACAAAACTCATACAGGTATTCAGTGCACTCAGATACCTAAACACACACACAGGTACATAAAAATACTAAAAGCAGTGCTTTTAGTTACATATTAATATATATAATATTATATATTATTAAAAGCAGTGCTTGTAATTATATATTAATATATATATTATATATGTAGATATAATGATATCTGTTTCCTTGGTGAAGTCCTTAAAACAGGATTGGGCTGTGCCACTGAACATGATGATAAAGATGTGGGTTTAAGAGAGTACTCTGAGTTTAAGAATTAAATTAATTCTTTGGCGTTTTCTTAACAGCAGATGAAGTTCTCAACGCATATTTTACAGTTTAGTGTGTAACTGTACTTCCCACACTTCCTTTTCCAGCAGAGGATTTCTAACTGTGGGGATGGCAGTGCCCTAACCTAAAATACACCTGTGTGCTCTCCCCTTTGTGCAGCTCCAGAAAGAGCCCGTGCAACAGCTCGGTGCCGAGCGACGCGAAGCGGCCGGCGGAGCTGATCGGCCAGGAGGTGGTTCTGGTGTCCTTCCTGCTGCTCCTGCTCGTCTGGTTCCTGAACCGCGAGTTCGAGGTCAGTTACCGGCTGCACTACCACGGGGACGTGGAGGCCGACCTGCACCGCACCAAGATCCAGAGCATGAGGGATCAGGCTGACTGGCTGCTGAGGAATATCATCCCCTACCACGTGGCCGAGCAGCTGAAGGTGTCCCAGAGCTATTCCAAAAATCACGACAGCGGCGGGGTGATCTTTGCCAGCATCGTGAACTTCAGCGAGTTCTACGAGGAGAACTACGAGGGTGGCAAGGAGTGTTACCGAGTCCTGAACGAGCTCATCGGGGACTTTGACGAGCTGCTGAGCAAACCCCACTACAGCAGCATCGAGAAGATCAAAACCATCGGGGCCACCTACATGGCGGCGTCGGGGCTGAACACCTCGCAGTGCCAGGACAGCAGCCATCCCCACGGGCACCTGCAGACCCTTTTTGAATTTGCCAAAGAAATGATGCGGGTGGTGGATGACTTCAACAACAACATGCTGTGGTTTAACTTCAAACTCCGGATCGGCTTTAACCACGGCCCCCTCACGGCCGGGGTCATCGGCACCACCAAGCTGTTGTATGACATTTGGGGGGACACTGTGAACATCGCGAGCAGGATGGACACCACCGGCGTCGAGTGCCGCATCCAGGTGAGTGAGGAGAGCTACCGCATCCTCAACAAGATGGGGTATGACTTTGACTACAGGGGGACGGTCAATGTGAAGGGGAAGGGTCAGATGAAGACCTACCTTTACCCCAAGTGCATGGACAACGGGATCGTGCCGCATCACCAGTTGTCCATATCTCCAGACATTCGGGTTCAAGTGGATGGCAGCATTGGGCGGTCTCCGACGGATGAGATTGCCAACCTGGTGCCTTCTGTACAGAATTCTGATAAGATTGCCCATGGCACAGATAACTCAGAGGCCAAGGACATCCTTCCTTCCGCCAAGAAGCTCCAGAAAGACGCGGCGAAGGCAGAGGAGAGGTGCAGGTTTGGCAAAGCCATGGAGAAGGATGACTGTGAGGAAGCGGGGACTGAGGAGGTCAATGAACTGACAAAGCTAAATATCTCTAAGAGTGTATGATGAACTGTCAGAGTTGCATGAAGTGCTCTGTCCATAGAAACACACAGACTTTTGCAATTGGCAGTTTTCTTTTTCAAGAGAGACCTTCTCCACACCTGGGTTGTACGTTTGTGTTCATTTCGGCACCTGGGGCTGTGTGGATCATGGCTCTTCAGGGCTTGTTTTCATCCATCTCTCTCCTCCATGCCCCAAATCACATCCCAAGCTCCCCAGCTCCCTGTGCAACCATCTTACAGCTGAGTAGAGGATATTAAGTGCCTTCAGATATACTCCATTGGACTCCCTGTCAAGGTACAGAGGCCCCAAGTGAAATCATAGCTTTGGGTATTTATCTAATTTTAAAGAAAAGAGAAGCTGTGGTTATATCATTTTTATTGTTGTTTCTCACAAAACACTTTTTTTGGCTAATGCAACTCCTTGGGTTTTTTATATCTCTCGGAACAATGTTTTACTGTTATCAGACCTTTTGTATGTAACACACAGACATGTGCATGTATCTACCATATGAGACTGCTATAAAGTGCCAGTAAAGCACCACAAGAATGTCTGGGCGAGGGGTGACACACTTTGGGTCGGGCTGGAGGGCGAGTTGTGCCGTGGCTCAGCCTTTAGTTAGGGCAGGAGGAACAGCTGCTGTCGTTCTGTTCTCCTTTCCCGATGCTTTCTGCAGCCTCCATGTGCCATCGTGTGCTTTGGATACACTTCTTTTCCATATAGCCAATGAGTTACTGATCCGTGGGGATGGAAGGAGGGTTGGGACAGTGCCAGCTCTGGGGACAGGTTTCCAGAAGCAGAGGAGAGACCACGGGAGTGCTGGAGTTCAGGGCTCCCGGCTCCGTACGCGGCTCAGTGGGCGAAGGTAGGTGACATCAGTGTCTCTAAGCTGACTGGAGAGAGAGAAAGAGAGAAGCAAAATAAATGTTTTGGGAATGCCTTTATTTATTTATTTATTTTATTCCTGTTTGGTTTTTTGGGGGTTTTTTTCTTATTTCATTTGGGAATTTTTGCACGCGGAAGGGACCGGGAGATGAATTGTTCGTGGGTTTAACAGGAGTAATAAGACAATGTTTGAGCCTCTTTGAACTACCAACCACTGTGAGGATGTTACCTTAGGCAATATTTGTTTCCAAGCTGGCCACACTTTGGAAGCCACCAAACACAGCTGAGTATCCCGGCTTCCCTCCAGACTGAACCAATGGTGCTGCGCAACATTTTTCAGGATTTTTACACACACACACACACACACACACACACACACACTGTGCTTTTGCAGCAGGGAAGAGAACAGAGTGCTCCCTTCCTGCTGCTGAAAGCAGGAACAGGGAGAAGAGTCCTTATAGTGAGCTGAGAAGCACAATCATTTCCCAGTCCTGCGGACAGCTCCATGCAGGTCCCTGGGAGCAGAGGCCCGCGGGAGCCCAGGAGCTGAACTGTGGGACTGGGGGCTTAGGCTGTGCCTGTCTGCCCTCTGCATGCTTCCACCACCTCCCTCTCTGGCATTTGATGCTCTGCTGGGGATCATATTGACCATTCAACTATTCAGCTCCCTCTGATACCAAATAAAGTGAAAGGGTTTTTATTCCCAAACAAGTTGGTCAGCCAGGGAAGAGCTGGGGAGGGGTGGTGCTGCACTGGCTGTGTGGTGCTGGTGGGCTCTTTCCATCTGAACTCAAGTCAGAATGTATTGATTCTTCCTCTTATCCCCATGTGATTTGGGGGTCTGAGTAATAAATAAATCTGTTGTGGGGTTCCTGTTCAGCTGCTGGAGATCCATCTCCACTCCACAGTCAGCATGGAGCCTGTGAAGCTTTTATCAGATGTGAGTGTGTGGGATTTCTGGATCTCAGTTAAACAGAACTCTGCACACAGGCCCTGCAAAGCTGTTGATTATGCAGGTAGTATCCCATTTGATAGGAAAGATGTTCAGAATTCATCTTCTTCGCTCGATCTGCCAGCACACAACAAACCAGGGAATCCTCACCCCCAAATCCCTGTGCCACAAGTGTTGTTGCCTGTTTGGAGGCAGTTCCCAATGAGCAACAATGTGAGGTGGTTTTGAGGGCACAGTTTTCCAGCAGCTTCCTTCTCCCTAGGTTACACTTCCCTCCTCCCCATTGTGGGTTGCACTTCCAACTTTCAGGTAGTAATTCTGCAAATACCTCTTGCATCTGAAGAATGTATTCCTGAAACCATTGTTAGGGTTCTTGCTTCAGTTGTGTCAGTATTCCTTTTCCTACAGTCAAGGAGCTAATGTGATCCAGAATTGTTTACATGCCTTCTAGTGTTATGTTATTGTCTCAGAGTTGTTCCAGCCTTTCTCCCTTTCACTTCTTTCTCCCGGTTTTATAGACTCTGCCTCTCCCTGCTCAGCTGTGTGCAAGGGCAGAGCTCAGTCAGGACACACCAGCTCCTTGAGACGCTGCACAATAACCAAACCTCCACCAGCCCCAGCCCTGCACCCGGGATAGGTTGGCAGAGGGTGGTTAAACCCGAAAGGAAAAGGTGCTGCTGGACCCAAAGCACCTTTCTCTTCATTGTTCAAGCACTTCAGGATGCAAAATCCTTCTTCTTCAGCCTATAAAGTACACAAGGCTCCTGTGCTGCTGTGGTGTGGGGCTCTGGGAGTTTCATTGGCACTAAACAAATAAAGGCACTGAGGACAGCAGTGCTGGTGGACTCTGAAATCAAGGGCTGATGTCTGTACTGGGAACTGCCAGTGATGGTACTCTGCCTTAACTGGATTGGGAAAAGGCTCCTGATGAGTGACCAGCTTGCTCATTGCCAGGACAGCAGCAAGAATCCCACAGCTGGGGCTGCCAGGGGTTAAATCTCTTCAGTGTAATAACCAAACCAAGAAATTCAGTTCTCAATGGATGGTTTGGAGGGGGAGATACCTGTTTGTGTGGTAAACCAGTGTGAGCTGAACCTTCACACCTCCTCTTATGCTTTTGAAGATTTATCCTGACACAGAAATTACTCTGGAGGCGTTTCTAGCAGGGTTGTGTGGCTCTGCTGCAGAATTCCTGACACGTGTGCTGGTGGGAGGCCACAGGCAAAGTTCACTCCATTAAAATGCTTGTGCTGTGTGTGCTGTTGGTGCCAGCAGTGCTGTCAGTGAACATGGGGGGGTGGCTGGGTCCCCAGGGATTTATTCAGCAAGGACAATCCATGTGTGGCTGTGCTTCCAGTCTTTAGGGTGGTTTAATGACACTGATTTAAAATGGTTCAGAGAAGGGGCTGGGGAGATTGCTGAGTGTTCATGAGCCCTGTGTTGCTTTCTGCCACTTGCAGCACCTGCTCTGAAGTGCAGAGTGACAAGCAGTGCACAGAGTATTGTGGGCACTGAGGTCTTAATCTGCTGCTAACACACCAAAATGCTTTTTCCTCCCTGCTGCTCCTGGGAGAGATTTCTCAGTGAGAACCAGGTAAACGGCATTCCTATGGATTAACTTCCAGCATTAGGATTTTGAGGATGGATTTGCCTGTTACTTCCCAGGATTTGGGGCCATTTCCCTTTGCTGGAGGTGACCTGAGCCCTGTGAGCAGAGTGAGGCAGTGCCACGGTCTGGCTGCAGCTTCTGCTGTGTCCCAGGAGTGACAAAATGAGGGGAGGAAAGGGTGGATACCCCAAGGGCTTTACACAAAACATAAGTATTTGGATACTCTTCCTTTAGGGCTAAAACACAGAAAGGAGGTGCCCAGAGCAAAAAACAAAGGGAGTTCCCCATTGTTATAGCAGCTTTAGCTAAAAAGGAGTTTATTCCTCAGTAAAAGGCCAAGTTTTTAGGGTTTCTGGCATTTTAAAATCGCTAACTCTGACCTGTATCTAAAACTTTAATTCTGAATACAGCAAAAGGTGTTGCAAGGGAGCAGTTAATTCATGTCACAACATCTCAAGAGGCTGAGGGTGCCTGAGGTTGGCTGTAATGCCTTTGGCTGTTTAAATCTGCACCTCAGCTTGGGGGGAGGGGTTCTGCTAAATTTAAAGACCCTGTTTTCTCCCTTCTTCCCTGCTGTGGTCTCCACCTGGGTGTTTGCTCCATCTGGATGGGACACACAGGTGGCTGTTGCCTCCTTGCTCCTCACCTTTGGGAACCTGTGTCTTCCTCATTGCACGGCAGCACCTGGGCTGAGCTCACGGCTCCGGGTGCTGCTGCTGGTGCCTCTCTGTTCCTGAGGAAAGAGGAGATTGTGTTTGCTTTGATGTCTTGGTCCATTTTGCCTGGTCACAGCTGCAGCTTCCTCCTCGTGGTGGTGACAGAAGATACAGAAGAAACACATCCCTGCAGTTAAATTCAAGAATTAAATTTAAAAATGCAGTTGTTGTTTATTGATGTGATTTTTCCAGTTGCCAGAAATGCCAGAGGGGTGGTTTGACTGTGAGTACAGAATGATTTGCATGTGGGAACAGCCAAGGTGGAGGTGCAGGGATGACCCAGTGTCATGGCACTGCCATCTCAGTGCCCAGGCAGCTGTGAAAAGCCAGCTGAAGTCTCAGAGAAATGCTGAGACTTGTCTGGCTGCTTGTGGAACATCAGTTTGGGCAGCAAAGTCATTTGCTCCATTGCTTTTCTCCTTTTGAGTTCTCTCTGCAGGATTTAGCAGTCCTTGGTTTGTTTCCTGGGGTAAAACTTGAATTTCTCTTTGCTGTTGCTGAGACTGAACTGTGCAGGCAGTGGCAGTGGGATTCTGCAAAATCCTATCAAAAAGCTGGAATTAGTAACCATCACTCACCAATTCCTGCAGGCCCTGGAGCAGTCTGAGTGCTGCCGTGCTCTGAAGGTGTCTCAGGTCAGAGCTGGAGGTGGGACACAGTCCCAAAGTCCAAAGATCCAAAGTCCTGCTTTGGATCCATATGGTAATGTGCTTCCAGGTGTGGAATCAGGAGACAAGGAGAAGGGAATGTGGAATAAGCTGCTGGATGATGCAAGGGCTGATCTGTATGTGCAGGACTGCAGGAGAGGAAGGTGTCTCAGGTGTGAAGCAGAGTCTTGGCTTCCCAAGCTGTTCTTGTTTTCTGGGAACCAGAAGCCCTTAAAATAGGCTGATTTTATTAAAATGTGCATTAACACCACCCTCTGAACTCTGTCCAGGAAGTTTTATTGGTGAAAGTCAGACAGCAGGAGCTTATTGCCTATGTCTTATTTAAAGAGTTCATTTAAAAATCAAACATCAGGCTCTGTAGAAGTTGAAGGAGGACAAAATAAAACAGGAGTGGGATGTGTCTTGACCGCGGTGCAGTTTGAGGGTGCCATGGGAAGGAGGTTTGAGGTGCTTTGCAGACACTGGGTAAAGCTCTGGTAGGAAAAAAATACAAATATTTTATATAAAATCTCTTTCAAGCCTTTCTGATGTGAACTGAACTTCTGTCTCAGCCCTGATAAGGGGCTGGGCTGTACAACACGTACAGAACTGTTGCTCCTTGCCTTTGGGACTCCGTATTGGCTCCAGAGAAAGATTAGTTTGGACAAAACAGATTGGTGGGAGACATTTAAAGCTCTTTTTTTTTTCCTTGTCCCTTACTGTAGCTGCTAAATATTTGCTGCCCTAACCCAGCTGCCCAGCCTGAGGCTGGCCAGGAGCTGGAGGCAGGTCCCCAGCATCTTCCCACCCAGCTGCTCCAGGGGTGGAGTTCAGCATCCTCCTCAGGAGCTGTCCCACGTGCCAGTCCCCACACTGGAGATCAGCATCTGAGGCAGCAGCTCTTGGTGTTTTACACTTCTGGAATGACCCCAAGGCCGCTGTTGGCATCTCCTGTCTCGGCCCTGGGGTTGTTTGCTCCATTCTCTCCCTGTTTTCTGACTCACTGCAACAACTGCACAGAATCCCAGAATGGTTTGGGTTGGAAGGAACCTTAAAGCTCATCTTGTTCCACCCCCTGCCATGGCCAGAGACACCTTCTACTGTCCCAGGCTGCTCCAAGCCCCATCCAGCCTGGCCTTGGGCACTTCCAGGGATCCAGGGGCAGCCACAGCTTCTCTGGGCACCCTGTGCCAGAGCCTGCCCACCCTCCCAGGGAACAATTCCTTCCCAATATCCCATCCATCCCTGCCCTCTGGCACTGGAAGCCATTCCCTGTGTCCTGTCCCTCCATCCCTTGTCCCAACTCCCTCTGCAGCTCTCCTGGAGCCCCTTTAGGCTCTGGAAGGGCTCTGAGGTGTCCCTGGAGCCTTCTCCTCTCCTCTCTCAGCCTGGCTCCAGAGCAGAGGGGCTCTGGCCCTCGGAGCATTTCCATGCCCATAATGGATTTTAATGTCCAGAAATTGAAGTGTTCACTGAATTGAAAAACTGCAGAGAAGGTCATGGCTGGGAACAGTTGGTACAGTCTGAAGTTCCCACTCTCACTGGTGATGCTCTGACCAATCTGTCATCCAGCTCATTGCTGGATGTGTGGTGTAAGCCAGTGCCACCACTTCCATGTCACTGATTTAGCCATCAATTCTCAAATCCTCCTTTGGATGAGTCAAAGTGGCTTTCTCAATTTTTTCCTTCTTTTCCTCCCCCAGTTACTCAAGTCTTCACTTGTTTCTACCTTTGTGCATCAGCTCCATCTTTGGAATTGAAGATGGTTTGTATCGACTTGTGCTGAGAGATGCAGCTCAGGGCAGGGAAGGACTCTTAGCATGTGGTCCATCTGTGGGTGTGCCCAAGGGGAATTGCCTCTGCAGTGGCTCTGAAACTTTGCCTTTTCCAGGAGAGCCCAGAGCTGTGTTTGGGGTTTATTTCCAGTTCTGGATGTACCACTCCACCATGTCCAAAGGAAAGGGTGGCAGCACTGCCAGCTCTGCTCTGCATCCCTGCCTCAGCCAGGGTTTGGCCACTGCACAGGTGGGTGCTGGTCCCACCGGCACCAGCAGATGTTCCAGGAGCCCACAGTTACCGGGGACCCTTCCCAATTTAATTGCTTCTGCTTTCAGAGCCCATGCTGAGATACAGAGATACATAATACATATGCTGAGACAGAGACCTGTTACACCCTACTGCAGGTACAGCTTTAAACTTCCAAAGTAATAAACTCTTTAAAGCCAAGAGCCTTAACAACTCCAGCATCTGCTGAGACAAGAAACACAGCTCTGAGGTCGCGCTGAGTATTTGGGAATTTTTCCTGCTCGATGGCGGGTGTCTCTGGTTTGCAGGGAGGCAACAGCAGTATCCAAAGATGACAGGAACCCTGGCCAGCCTCACCCATTGCCCAGGAACAGCTAAATGAGTTCTCCTGTGTTCTCAGGAAAGTCACCTCGCTGCTCAGTGCCAGCTGGAGGCTTTAGGTGTTGCATTGCTCAGGAAAGCTCCTCCTTTCCATGCAACAGTGTTCTTAACTTAGCATAAAACATTGTGTTTGCCGGTGGCAGGGGCTGGATTCCTCCTTTCTCGCCCTTTGGTTCTTTCAGCATTGAGGCCAAGGCAGGGATGTAAATGATGGGAAAGGGGAGGTGAGTGGGGAAGGAGCCCCTGGAGCCAGCCCCAGTGGAGGAGCTGCCGTGTAGGTGCCTGGGCAGCATCCTGCCCCATGCAGCCAGGCCATGGACACCTTGGGAAATGCACCTTCCCTCCTGCCTGTTGGTTTGCTTTTCCCACAGAGCAAATTTCAGCTGGCTACTGAAAGCCTGCACTGTGAAGCAGCTGTGTCTGACCATGACCGGCTGGGACTGGGGATAAGGGTTGGGATTTGGGGTTGGATCTGCCTCCCTCTGTCCACACAGTGACAGCCACACAGTGATCCCCCTGTAAAAGCCGTCACTGGGCGTCCAGGGTGGTGGTACCTGATTACAAACAGCCCAAGAGAGATTGTTTTTGGAGTGATCAGCTGAACCCAGGGTTGGTTTTGGTTTGCCAAGGGCAAGGAGTGGACCTGGGAGGCAGCACAGGCCCCTGAGCATCCCCTGCTTCCTTGAGAAGTTCCCTCAGCACTGACCCAGGGCTTCAGCGCTCCCTGTCCTTGCACAAGCACACGTGGGGATGGATAGAAAGCATTAATTGAAAATGCCATTGAAACATTATTGAATTACAAATTGAAAATTAATTGAGAACAGTTTCCAATTAAAATACTTTAAGAGGCAAATTTAAGTGTTTTGAAATCTCCAGATTAGCTGGACATTCTTTTTTCCTGGTATCTCTGGTTCCTTTTCCCTCCTGCCCAGTGCAGCCCGTGCTTCTCCCTCCCTTGCAGAGAGAGAACCGCTCTGTTTACACACCCTGCTGGGGCAGCCTCGCCCGGGGCTGTGCGGGGGGACGGGGCTTCCTCGCAGCAGCCTCACTGTAAATACTCTGCCAATGCTTCGTGGACAAACCGAGATGGCAAAAAGTTGTATGTGTGAAATATTAAGCTCTGTGTGTATATAGATCCAACACGTATTATCTGCGGCTCTGTAATCAATTGTATATTAAACTGTTCCACTGTATGGCCAATCATTTCATGCTCTCTTAGATGTAGAAAAGCTGAGAAATAATTCACAATACACTGTGTCAACTCCAAATTGGTTTTGCTTTCGTATTTTTGCTCCAACCCCGCTTCAGCCGCAGCCCTTGGCACATGATCTGGAGAAAGAATAGTTTGGAATAGGTTTTTCAGCCCTTTGTTTTGGATCTGGCTTCTAACAATGTTTCTTTGATAATCATGAAGCCACCAAGTTAATTTTTGATTAGGTGCATATTTAGGAGACATCTTAAACACAGAAGGAATTTGTCACATAGACACTCTTTGATGTGTTGGTTGGCAGTGAATGACCTTCCTGTTCCCAGTGCCCAGGGTGAGAAGATGAGTCCTTCCTAATTTTTCCTTATTTTAATCCAGCCCTGAAGTGTTGGGAAGGGGCTGCACAGCCACCACTGGCAGCACCTCTGCAGCCACCTTAGGGTGGCTGGGCAAAGCTTTTCCTCACAGGGAGCTTGTGTTGGCCAAAACTGGGGATGAACTTTAAATAGTTATTTTTCTCTTTGGCAGAGAGCATTGATGTTTTACTCTGGAATTTCAGTGCCTTATTCAGATCCCCTTCATTTGCTTGGAAAGGGGACTGAGGCAGTTTTTCTGGAGTGAGTGTCCAAAGAGCAAGGACTGGCTGAGCAGCAGTGGCTGGGCAAGAGGAGGAGCCTTGATAATTCCAAAACCAGAATCTGGCCCAAAGAGCAAGCCCCATGTCTGTCTACACCCCCACCTTTCTCGGGGTTCCTTGTCAGCATTCTGCTGTGTGTTCATCGGGTTTCACTGGAGAGTGAAACCCCAAATGAAGCCCTGAGCCTTTCCCAGTCAGGGTTTGACCTGGCAGATGTTAAGGTTTCCTCTGGATCCTGCTGCCTGTCGATGACCAGTGACCCAGCACTATTGTGTCCTGCAGCACCAAACCCTTCTCACCAGGCAGCCACAGCATCTGAATGTGTCCAGCCACACTGTCCAGCTTCCCTTTCCCTACTCTCCCTCTGCTGCAGCAGAGCAAGAGCTGCTGAAATCAAAGAGAAGCAGTGTCCAGTTTCTCTGGCTCCTGACTGATTCTTTTCCCCCATATTTTCAACATTTTCTCCCCACTGACCAGGTAAGTATGAGAGCACACCTGTGGTGCAGCTGGCACCACAGCCCACATTTGCCCTGGGCTCCTCAGTGCCAGCCCAGTGTTTAATGCCAATAGGGGTGTGTAGGCCTTGCTGGGTGTTCCCAGGTATTCACCTTCTGCTGTCAGTGAAAACTGCTCCAATGTTGTCCAGTCAGGTTCTGATTGTGGATCGTGGTGATTGTCAACTGCCAAGGGATATTTTTTAATAAATCTGGTCAAGGTATTTCAAATGAATCCAGTCTTGCTGTTTTCAGTTTGTCTTGTCCTGGGTAAGGCCATGTTAAAGTTTCTTTTCTCCCTGTGCCTTGGTTTGTGGTCAGGACATGTCATACACCGGTGTTGGGTGTATTGAAGGACTCACCCTGTGCATGGTTGGTTTATGTGGGGATGTGTAACAAGAAAAGCCCAGAGATGTCTCAGGGAGATGTTTCACAGCAGTTCCTGAAAGTCTGGGCTGTGTTTGTTCATAGTGAGCCTTGGGTGCTCTGCCTGCTGCCATGGTGTGCTCAGCTCAGCTGGACAGTGGGGGACAGCAGGGCCAGGCCAGAGGCTGTTCCATGTCTCCCATCTCTAGGTGCTGCCAGGGATGTGGTGCCTCAGGCAGGCTGCAGAATGGGATCTCTGTGGGATCCACTGGCTTCTTCCTCTTCTGGAAGAAGGAGGCTCCAGGATTGCCCTGGGTGCTGGGAAGGTGAGTGGTACCCGATCCCACAGGTTATTGGTGTGGGGGTGGTGGTTCTGTACCACCT